TATTTTTTGATCTAAAATCTATTTTCTGATAGGTAGCTAGCTGCAGATCTGTAGCTTGCTGGTCTGAAAAAATTAGGATGGATGACCATGCAACAGCACACTTTTGGTGCACAACAAATATACACTTTTTTGATGGGTGGTACTGTAGCTCTCTGGTCACCTATCCTAATCTTCTCAAACCAGTGAGCTTCAGATCTGCTGCTACCTGAAAGGCAACCCATTATGTCCAAATATACTGACAGAAAAACCATACTTTTCCTCAAACTCTGAGACTTCTTCCTCATCTTCCTGTGTTTTTGTTGTGAACCTCAGTTCTTTCTCCTCCTCCTCCTCTGAGGAGCCGGTCTCCTCAAGGATCCTATGTTCCTCACACCCCTCAGGCTTGTCCACCTCCAAGCATTGACAAATCATGCAGGATGGCTTTACAGAGACATGCACCGCTGACATTGTACTTAATTTTCAAGTTTTTTTTTAAAACACGAAATGTTTTCAATAAATTCAAAAACATCCAAGTCAGAAAATAAATCACACCAAAAAAAGCTCCAAGAAATACAACTCTATATTCCTTGCTATTTATATCAAAATTAACAGTCAAGAAAAAGAAGTTAGTCCTTTAGTGTCTAAATCTGTGAGCAGATCATAGGCTATAAACAATATTCCCTTCATGAAAACTTCAAATCATCAGAATTTTCGACTGCAACGACCAATATGGAGCAAAAGAAATTCACTTTCCAAATACACTGAAAATGATTCTGTGGGATAAGCTATTAACTTTCGAATACGGTACATGTTCGAATTAAGGGCAATTATTCCCTTGAAGTAAAGTTCAGGTAGAACTTAATCTATACAGACTTAATAAATCCTGTTGTGTATAAATCAGTGTTTGTGCCTGCCTGCAGTCAGGGTAGCTTTAATCACTGAATCTAAAAAACCGAAGATGATTGGGCATCAGGGAATTTAATAACCCCATAAATCTCTCACCCCCTAGTTTTTTTGCACATTATCAATTCTTCAATTGAATTTTCTCTATTTACATAAATCATAACCACAACTCATCTCATTACAAAACAGGATTTTAAATGTTGGAAAGATTTGATAAAGGAAAAAAATATTTTCATTCCTCTGCAATAAGCCTGGCACTTACCCCGAGCAACTCGTATCAATGGAAGAAATAGATGGAAGCTTGGAGATTGCATGTTTAGTGAAGTCCACTCTTGTTGGCTCTGGATCATATCTTGGAGGGTTATTTCCTGGGTAGGCATAACTAGATGGATGGGAATTGATGGAGGGAAAATTGGAATAACTGTTTGGCCGTGTTGGTAACTCGTTAAGAAACTGGTAACTTCCAGGCCTGCTCAAAGCTGGGTCACTGCTGGCTAGGCTGGTGGAATAGGATCCCAGGATATTGCTGTAATTCATTGGTGTGGAAATATTTGTGGAAAATGAAACATAGCTTGCAGGCCTTGATGGAAAACCAGGTCTGCTTCCCATGTATGTCTCATAGTCCTGTTCAGCATCCACTTTCAAGTACGATCGCTTTCCAATAGGAACATAGTCTTTGGATCTTGCCAAAGATGTTTCGAACCGAACTCTCATTTTATAAACACTTGAAGCCATAAGGATGAAACAGATGAAAATTGGGGTATATTCAAACTCTGGATTCCAAATTCATTCCACGAAAGTTTTATAACTTGCTGAAATTTTTTCCAAAGTCAAAAATTGAACTTTTCTATCCATAGTGCCAACAGATACAAAAACTATTGTTCCAACCAAATTTTTTCCAATTATCCAAGAGAACACTTAACATTTCACTCCACAAAAACACAAAAGGAAAGACAGCAAAAAGACTGAGGTCTGAAAAAAATGTCCAGAACAAAAAGTCAAAATTGTTATCTTCTGTTTAAAACCCCAAAGTTCATAATAAAAGTTAGGAGATAAAGTCTGGCAGAGAATATAAGTGAAAGCAGATAAGAAATATAATATTGCTTTGTGTTGAAACTCTAAGTGATAGGGTTTTCATAAATTTGAAAGGCTTTGAGGCTAACATTAATGGTAAAAGGTCATTCAATAACATGGAACCTGGAAATAAATTTCCAGTCTTGATAGAAAATTCCAAGATACAGAACTCTGAAAAGTTATGCAATATATCATTTTAATAGAAAAAATCAATTTTAGATGATGTCGATATTGAAATTACCAAGATTTATGGGTTTGCTTGTACAAATTGATTGGCATTTTTAGAACTTGTGCCAAGAGACCCCCCCTCCCCCTTTCAAAACAAATGTGTCCAATGATTAAGTAAAGGGTATTCTACAAAGGACAAATTCTTCAAAAGTACTTAGTATTTGGAATACTCCAAATTAATAAAAAAAATTAAGGTAAAACTTCAAAGTTTTGCTCAACCATGAAATTTTAGTCTGCTTTTGGAAGCATGAGTTTTTCAGAAATAGCAGTACCTAGTTTTAAAGTGTTATAGATTTTCTTCAGTTGGTACAAAGTGCCTAGAAAAGTACCATACAAGTTCAGCAGATACAATTCTCCATTATTTATTTAGTTTTATGTTCCAAATTTCATCACCATTTTATTTCACCTCTTGAAAATCAACTAAATAGGCATGACGTGTGTGCAATAAGTAAAGCATTGCAAACTTATATACATTATCTAATACACTGATTACAATGTAAATGTCAAATCAAATCAATACACAAGAATACCCAGTGACCATACTTCCTTAGCCAAAAATACAAAAAAATTAAACTCAAAACCCAAGTCCCAACTCCATCATCTGGTCAAAGCACAAGGTACTACAAACAAAGCATCCATCTTACCTGGCCGGGGCACTTTTGACCAAGTTCCGAATCACATCCTTGCGGTAATCCATTTTTTCAGCCATTTTTCAGACCAAAATTTAATCTCTTTCTGTCTCCACTTTAAAATTTCAATCAATATCCTCGGATATAAGTAATGTCTGTTCACTTTCACATATCAGTTTCTTAATATTTACATACTTAGCTTTCATAAAATGTAATCATATCTGGGTAGTGACCATTTATCAATAAAATCCCAGCACCATGTCTGACTTGTGAAAACTTTTCGGAACATGACATATTTGGGGATCCCAGATTGACACAACCTTTGTGAATACTAAGAAGAACAAGGGGTTAATTCTGCATATCTGTGAGGGAATCATAATTTGTCATACCTCAAGACACATGAAGACAAAATGCTTCAACTACCATAAATATCCTAAAAATAATCACAGATCAGTTGGTGCTCGATCAATGCATTACATTGATAAAGGCCAAAATAAAAAAAAAAATGAAGATATAAAATTTGAAATTTCAATATTTAACAAAAATTTCTGAAAGTTAAAAGAAAAATTATCAAATTAAATCAATGCACTAAAAAAACTGAAAAGAAAAACTACATTTATATACATAAAAGTACCTTTCTCGATGTAGGTATACGTACATACTTCTAAAGCCAATTCAAAGGAATGAATTGACCACTTTCATGTCAATTTCACTGATCAAGTAAATAAGATTTCAACCTTTTTTAGAAGTAAACACTTTTACTTCAATACAAGAGGAAAATTAATTTCCTGGATTTCGTATTTGCTTTATGCAGCTAAATGAAACGAGAGTTTCACCATTTTGTGTTTTGTAGTCCAATACAGCAACTTACAAATATTTTCCATTAAAAAAATCTCTTTGCAAAGTTCATTGCCTGTCAAATGTTGATACAATTATTCCCTTTGAATTGTTAATCATTCAAAGCATATATTTTACAGAGCAAATACGGTAACTCAGGAAGATGACAAAATTCAATGCCACCATATTATGTTGGCATCATTCAAGTGTGCATGTTTTGTTTTTTTGTTCACAATTACTTTAATTTGAAAGATATTCTTTGTTTTTGAATGCTATCAGTAGACATCGGCCTATCTGAATCCAGCTGTGATTTAATTAAGATTGTGCTGGTAACAATCCAAAATGTAACTCAATATCTGAATTTTAAAAAGAGTCAAAGGGGACTAACTCCATTTTTTTTAAAAATCCAATTTCTATAGCTTTCCTGAACAGTCTGAATTGAACAAAGACTGAGTGACATGTGAAGTGTTTGCATTTAAGAAATTCCTTTTAAAATCCATTATTTTTTTTAAGAGTATAGATAAACTGATGAGGAGAATGTATTCGACTGGTATACAGAAAGAAAGCTTGTCTAATAAATTAGTACAATTCTCTGTTATCCTTGGACTTTCAGTAAGGTGTTGCATTCTCAACATTACATAATTTCATTTACTGTTGAAATATACATGGGATAGAAATTTGGACGAATGTCAATGAGTGTAGCAAGGATCCAATCACAACGTTTCGTATGGCATAGAGGTGGGGCTTAAGTCATCTCATTGTTGTCAACAACAATTTAAATTGCTGATGTTATTAATTTCTTAACCAGTAATGAGAATTTGAGAGACACTAATTACGTAGCTTCGAGAATATCATGCCTCATAGAAAGTCCAAGGATGATAGAGAATTGTACTAATTCAGGCTTTTCATGAGAAGGCAAGGTTTAAAAAAAAATTTTATGACAATGACAATTTTTTTTCTGAGAATTAATACGTATAAATCAACAAGCTATGTTTATCAAAGACTAATGCTCTGAAAGTTTTTTTTTAAGTATGTTGAACTCTGAGAAATGGTATCAAAAGGTATTGTCACAAGAAATACCGTAGATCACTTAATTTTCGCGACACCTTATTTTCGCGAGATAGTCATTGACTCTTGATTAGCGAGACAAAATTTTCACGAATTGTGGTTATTGTTCTATATAATCTTAATGAATACTATTATATGCGAGAATTCCAATTTTCGCGAGCACACTGTCTCGTGTAATTGCACGAAAATAAAGTTCTCGCGAATAAAAAGTGATTTACAGTACACAAGTGAAAAAGGACCTCAAATTCCAAGGTCAAAGTGGAAAAAAATACAACCTCCTACCTTGATTCTGACGATATGTCTGTGATAAAACTTGCTGGAGTGTTGGCCTTCCCCCGTATCCCTGATAAATGTCTGGCTTCATCATAATGATTGTTAATAGCTGACCAGCTCACGCGATTGGCATTCTCATCAAAAGCAGTCAAACCTTCCCTGAAATTCACAGAATTTTCGGAAAATCTCATGTTTTCCTGTCTTGGAGCATCGGGTGGATGTTTGATAGCAGAATTTCTCAAGATGGGCGGGGGCATTTTATTTTTTTCGACTCCTGTTTCTTGAAGGATAATTTCGGATTTATCCGGTCCATCCACATCATCCAAGTCCTCCCCAGATTCTCCTGGGTCGTCATAGATACCAAGGTCATCCCCCTCTTCCATCTTCTGCATGGGGATAGTTACGACATGACGTAACATTTCATTGGATAACATTCTGACTGGAGGGGACTTTGTGAGAATGTTTTCTTTGTCAGTTTTGACATCGTCTTTATTTTTCACATGAGATATTTTTTCTCCTTGTCTCTGAGAAAGTTCAGATTTATTTTTCACACCTTGAGTAACTAAATGACCATCTTTAAGTGGAGTTTTTGGTCTGTCACCATTTTCTTCATTGCCTACAGTCATGTTGTTGTTATTCTGAACTTTATCAAAAACATCTCCAACACCTTGCATATTCTTTCCATTAACAGAATTAGTAAGAGTTACTGCCCTTTCACCATTAACCATCTCCATTTCTTCATTGTGTTTCTCCATATCAAATATTTGTTGTGGGTTGCTGACCTCATCTCATCTCTGTAAAATAAAGAAAAGATGGTTATTTTTCAGGCATATAACAAGTTTTAACCATATTTCACCATTATAAGATTTCTCTATCTCTAAAACTCAACCTTGAATATTCTTTTTTTTTTTTTTAATGTCAATACCATATGAATCAGAAAAGTAGTTATCAATATTTTTTAACATATCTTTTACTACTTCTGACATTCCTACAACCTCCAATGAACTGTCAGAACAAAACTTGAAGCAAATTCCTTGTCTTTATACATTCAATAGCTCGCAGCACTAGTCATCTTTTTCATTCAATAGAATTGATCGTCTGATAAGTTTTTAAGATATTTCTTTTTTTTTTTTTTTACAAACAGTGAAATCTACCGTCAGACACTTTCTATTCACATTCTTTACATTGTTGAATTTGTCATAACTTAAATTGCCACCAATTAAATCGGTCTGATTTCTCCTTATAAAGAAATTCATAATACCTCTCCCTCTCCAATAAAATTAATATCTGAGGGTAAATATACACTGATCGGCTCCTTTATTTTTTAAATGAAATTTGACATACCCCTCCCAGTCACAAATAAAGTCTTTTTATCCGCTATTCTTCTTTCTTAAAAATTTTAATATGTAATTAACAAGGATATATGAATTATAGTAATCATAAACTTTTAACATGTTTACTTTGACAAGTTTATAGAGTCCTGAAATGTCATTATGGACACGACCCTTCCAGAGACATATTTAGCAACTATAAGCACCTATACAGTTTTACAAATGTGGACAACTGCTCTCACTTTTTTGACAGAATTATTGAAATGTATTTTATTTAGCTGTGTTAATTCTTTTTATTGCTTTTTGCGGAAAGCAACTTCCACTAATTTAAGTACGACACTAAATGTCTTGCATAAGTATAGATATAAATAAGAAAGGAAATGTTCTAAATCAAATCTTCGCTTACTTGATCAAAAATCATACTCCGCAAAATATCTTGCACGATTTACAGTATTCATTTTTAAGTGAAACTTTTCTTTATTCAACTGAAGGTCTTTTTGTTCTGTTTGTTGGACAGAGCATGTACCATGATAAAATGTATACTCAAACTTTGTGTTGTACATAAGTGTTTTTGATTTATTATGTGATGTGTTCATTTTAACAAATCTTAACCTTTACTTTTTGTCATGTTGTGATTAAAATGTAGATTGCTTAATATGAACAAGAAATTTATTATCGCAATATTTGGGTGAGATGCACCAGTCACACAAAACAAAATTTACTTGCTATTATTTCTATATGCCAAAATATACATGTAGAAGCTCTTAAATAACAGTTGATTTCCTGTTCTCGCAATTTGATTTTTAGAATCATTTCGAACTCACCATATTTCACCTAAAAGAATTTGCCAAAATAAGGAATCTATGGTAATTAATACATATAACTGGAAGAACAAATAGAAACACATCAAAAAAGTTCAACAGATCATTTGGTTCATAAAATATAAAAATACTAAATCAATAAATGTTTCAAACAGTATTTTATCACTTAAAATGTTAGCACTCAATAGAATATTTTCTATCTAGATTGAGAATCAACATTTATATTCTCAACCTCAATGACAACACAGAAGCTCATGTATAAGGGGGCCTATCCCTGTGTAAGCCTTTTCTTGGGTGCAGAATTTATCGTTAATGAAATAATTAAAAGCATGGTTGTGAACTACGTGACAGATAAATGACAAATCTTCAAAGCGTGTGCTCGGATCCTAACCTTGAGTAATCTAATTCCAATCAGCTACCTTGAGATCTCCGAAAATTAAATATACATGCACTTGATTTAAAGATATGTCTGCATTCAAAGCCGCTTTAGATGTTTAGACTATTTAATTAAATTGGAACAGCTAGTAGGCACCTCAAATCCTCTCCTAGAATGATGAAATGAAGGGGAAACCATGTAACCATGGTATGAAAATGAACTCACAAGTTGAAAATAATTGACATATTGCTTCTTAGGACCTTGCATGGATACTTGTGCCTTTTTTTCCCAAAGAAACACTGAAATTTATATTTAAATTATCAAGCCATGTGCTCTGATTGTAACCTTTTGTAGCCTTATATATCCAAATCTGTACTTTGAACAGATACATGCATTTCCCTTAAATCTCTGCGCTACTGCTCTAAAAGGCTTAGATAGCTTATATGGGGTAGATTTGCTTTTTATATAATTAAAGTTGTACAGCTATAGGAACCAACACCTTATAGAAAGAGAGAACAGGTGATTTAAACACAGAACATAGATTTCTGAACTTCAAATTCCTTGGTGTCAATATCTGAAATATATATACTGCATTCATGTGTCATAAAGGTGCAGTTGTATATATATATTTGTTATAGATAAAAAAATTGTCAGAGCATGTGTTCAGATATTAAAGTTAAAGCTTTGTCATGATTTCACAAATGTTGTAACAAATTTCACCAAAATAATATTCATCTTTTCTGGCTCATCAATTTTTTTTGTTTTTTTTTTTATTTTTAAAAGATATGAAATTTTTCAATACCAGGAATTCTGAATGATCTCTCTTTCAGATAGGAGGTTCGTTAAAAAGAAAAAAATCCTTCCCTCCCCTAATCAAAGGATGTTTTGTTGCAAGTTGTTTGAAATTGGAACAGATGAATGCCAGAAAAGCTCACCTCAGGTGAACTAAAAACCAAGTTTTTAAATGGTTTTCAAATCTTATACAAAAAATCTGCATCAATTTAATGATGATTGCTGGAATTGATGGCTTGAAATCTATAAAAACCAATTGTAACATTTTTGTACCTTAATACTTAAACACTATTGAACTGAAAACTTTAAACTACAGGATAGTATCTGAACCAAAAATTAAACTGCATCTATACTTATGAAGTTTATCAAAATTTTTTTTTAATTAGATCTCTTAAAATTGCCCAATATTTGTCATTCAATGTTGATAGTCAAACAGTTTAAAAAGTTGCTAAATTAGTTCTACAATTGCAGTTTTTGGGGCCATGGATGAATTCAGTAAAAGCTAATTTCTGAATCAGATTTTTTTTGAAAACTGCATGATCAATATCTCAAGCTCATGTGAAGTATGGGGTAATCTTCACGTTCCAGTCAGGATCAAAAAAGAATAAAAACTCTTTCTTCATAATTCCTTCTAGAAAAAGCAGGTATTTGTATTTTGTTACATGAGATAGGGTTATCTAGTTCGTAGATCATGGTATTTAAATTGCCAATCAATGAAGCATTGTTTACAATAAAAAAACACTACATGATTTATTGCAAATCAATTGCGTATTTAACATCATGTATAGGAAAAAATAAATATTTTATGAAAATTATAACCAAAGAATATTTTAAAAAACAAAAACATTACTCGAATCTACATGTTAGTACTTTTTGTCCCCTGCTGAAAGTGGGGGATATTAATTTTGGTCTGTCTACCTGTCCAGCCATCTGTCTCAGTGTCTGTCTGTAGTTCTGTCTGTCTGTAATCTCAAGAAGCCTTTGAGCTTTTGTCATTAAATTTTACACAATAACTCCCTATGGCCTAAAGAAGAATCCTATTGATTTAAAGGTCAAAAGGTCAGAGTCATAAATTCAAAAATTCTTTCTGTTTGAATACTTTTGTTTCTGCACATTATCTCAAGAAGCCTTTGAGCTTTTCCAATGACATTTTATACCACTACTCCCTATGGCCAAAGGAAGACCTTGCGGATTTTGAGGTCAAAAGGTCAAAGTTCAAGGTCATAATTTTATATATTCTGTGCCTGTGTATAAAACTTTTATTTCTGGTGATATCTCAAGATCCTTTCGAGTTTTTGCAATTAAATTTCATACCATAACTCCCTATGCCCCTCCTGTCCTTCTTCGAGTGCCCTACCGCTCGACACCCCCCCCCCCCCCCCCCCCCCCCGAGTCAGCAAATCCCCTTATTTTTTCCTTTAACGGGGGACACAGATTCTCTGAATGAATTAGCTTGTTTTTATAGCAAATATGGCTAGTGATTGTACATAGAAACAAAATATAATAGATATAGCGAACTTTTTAATCCCGGCACACGGATATAATCATCAAAAATCTTTTTAAAGTCCCGTTGAGGTTAAATATAATGAAATTTTCTTACTTTGTTTGTACTGGTACCAAGTGCTATACATGCATATACATACATGTAGCTATCAAATGAAAGCCAAAGTTTCATATACAATTACAGTCAAACATTGTTATCTCAAACTTTATGGGACTGAGAAAATATTTCAAGATGTCTTACAGTCTAAGGATTCAAGATATCCAGGGTAAAATACTTCAGAAATAAATCATGGAACCTCAAACTTAAATTCAAGATGTCTGTGTTCAAGATACTAGTACCAAAGTTCAACTGTAATGATAATCATCCACTAGACAAGTAAAAGTTAATCTTATAATCAAGAGCAAGAGATTAACCAATCACCGTCCAAATCATTGTCATTGATTGTTTTGGCTTTCATAAAGTACCTGCAATATTTTTCTAGTCAAATCAGTAAATACATGATATGTGGTACAATATAATATGATATGATATGTGGACAAATTGATAATCATGATTATGAAATTGTTGAGAGTAATGTGGGTGCAATTTCCTGCTTAAAATTTTCCTGATTAGTACATTGTCAAAATATAATTTAAAGCGAGCTGCTTTGGTAAATAACATTTTGATTTTCCATTTAGAAAATTAGCTCAATTTGTAACCTAATCAAACTACCTGTGTGGTTAGCTCATTTGGTAATTCCATAATAAGCACTTAACACATTCAAAAGAAAAGTCCAAGATTTCAGTTTAAGATTGCTAGTGGTTTCGTAACAGTAATTGAAGGTTTTACTTAAAGACGATCAACAAAAGTCAATTCTCACCCAAATGATATATGTCAGACAAATGAAAATGGGCAGCTTCATTAGGTAGCACAGGGTTCTTAAAAGCAGGTTAATTTTAATTATAATGGCAACCACTGTTTTTTTTTTATCAAAGCAAATTGCAATTTTCCTCCTTTTATGCCATTCATATTAAATGGCCCATTGATGTTAAAACAGAGCTATTTGCTTGTAAGGCTGCTTTACTCCAATCTCCTAATTTTGTTTGACCAAAGATCCATACCCTAGTGCCAATTGCTGAGATTTGAAATTTTATACCAGCTAGCTAATCAATAAACAAACAAAGTCCCCCCACTTTACCATTGCAGGAGCAAATCACGTTAGATAGGTTTACCGTGGGGAAAATATTGACCGTGTAATTAGTTTTGTCAACAAGGGGTAGGTCCCACAGTGTACACTGTGACATCTTGAATCTCATCTAAGTTAAGTCCAATAGAATACCCCCGTCCTCGGCGGTAAGACACAGGATTTGAAGTGTCAAATATTGTCAGGTACGGGCCATGGCTTGCAGAGTTTAAAGGGCTACGGACAGATAGATTCCGATCAACATGCGAGTCCATTTGATTTCATTCAAATCAATGATTCTATTGTTAGAACTTGATTTGAAATAAACCTTTTTCAATCTGAACTTTATAATGATACTTTATTTAGAAACCTTGCTGATTTTTAAAATTGATGTTTTTAGGGGGTTGAAAACAGATTGAATTTGGGTTTAGTAGATTTAAAAGTTTTAAAGTTTAGTGGTCTAATAGAAAATATTCTCAGAATATAAAATGATTCTAGATTTGTATTTTTCACATTGTTTACAATAGCAACATACCTTATTTACATAAACAAATTGTCTGCATCATCATGATCAGGTTGCCACTGATGTCTTATAATTTCTTTCAAGAGAAGACTAAAAAAATCCCTGTTTTCACTTCATATCACAGTTAAAATTTTTAATGTGGATAATCCTATAATCATCTTCAAAGAACTACACACTTAAATTAACCAGTTGAAGTGAACACAAATGATTAAAGTTGAGTTGTAATCCTTTGGTAAATCAATCAAAGTTAAAGTGACTTATTTCATAACCTAGATTTCACTACGCACCACACTGACTTTTTTATTGAGAATAATACCAGTACACGTATTGTAAACAACTTAAACCATTACAAAAGAGTTAAATATATAGTCCTCATTAAGATTTTAGAAATCATTGAAGAACCTGAAAAAAAGTTATTAGTTCTACGGATTTAAAGTTCATGGTTCATTTAATAAAACATCAAGTAAAAAGAATCACTAAGCAAACTTAAAAACAAAAATAAAATTTCCAAAGCTTGGAAATCAATGGCCCATATCAAACTTTCATGTAAATATATTTTTCTTTTCATGTACCCCACATTTCTTATTTACTTACCTATATTTTGTAGAAAGAATCTTTCAAAACATGCTCCAAAAATAAGTCCTGAATCTGTAATCCCAGAAAGAAAATCGGTGCCAATATTCCTCTGTTATTTATGTTTTGATGAATATTGAACCTGCAAAATGATACATTTAATGAATTCCTATCCACAAACTGCCAATGTCTGTCAATGCCTGCACTATCGACAGAGGATATAAAAAAAACCCTCTGTCCTTTTAAATAAAAACTTTGGTTCATTACCAACCCAAAAGGTCTAGTCCTGCCTTTAAATCAGTTGGCGATATCATCCTGAAATATTAAAGTACATAGGCAATGTATATGGTGAAGTTACATTGAGTTGTTACATAGCATTGGACATTTCTCATTCTGAGTTTTAAGCCTCTACTTCATAAGAGGTTAAAGTTACCATTGATTTCAACATGGCTGGAGACAATGGAATAAAAGAATGTTTTCAGAGGACTTGGGACGAAAATTTTCGACCCTCTTGAAAATCACTTGGAGCATGGACTCAATTAATTATCCACATTTACTTGTATCAACAGTAAATTAAATGCTCTAGCATAATAAATTATTTTGTTAAATTCCTTTTTAAAAATGAATCTAAAATCCAGAAAAATGTAAAGTTATTATAGAAAAAACAATCAATCTTTAGAAGAAAAAAAAATCACAAGAAACCACATGCAAGAAAAACCTGATCATAAACATTTTGATTTTTTTTCATTTATAGTTTTTTTTCTTTTCCAAATCTATGGTGAACTAACTTTCTGCAGATAGAACTTGACAAGAAAACAACCAAAGTCTATTATGTAAAAGTTGAAATATTTACCATCTATTCTGTTGCTGTGCAATCTCGAGTGGCCTGGAAGACACATATAAGTAGAGTTAAGGATGTACGTACCTCCGATCAACGTTTAAATTTGACAAATCCCTCATCTATCAAAACACCACTCAATTTCCTAACTTAAGGCCTGTAAACTGAAATCAATGCCGATTTATTCAATACGGAACCTTAAACCCATCTCACGATGGGATACATTTAAATAAAAAGAAATTCAAGATGAGAAAAAATTTCGCATTAAATTTCAAATCATTTGTATCATCTGACTTTTTACACTTTATTTTTGGTCAAAAGAGGTTAAATATTGATCAGATAAGATTTAAAACACGGGAATGAAATGGTTGGTTCCTTTTCTTTCTTTTAAAATTGAACTAGCTATGTCACCAGAGATGAAATATGTTAACTAAGTAATTTTCACCCAGAGAATTGAATAAATTGTTTCTGGTGTATAGCAGATTCTATTTCACACATTTAAAAAAGAAAAGTACCATCTAAAATCAATATTATTTATATAGTAGAATAGGGTATATTTACATGTGGATGTTTCAAAAAAAAGATTAAATCCACTGTTATCAACGTTCACATATTCTTGATTTAACATTGGGAAATTCTTTACTACTCACAAGAATTTCAATATTTAGTATTTGACTCTAAAATTATGAACATTTCTATGCATCTCTATACAATTTGTATCAGTTGGTACAATTCAAACTGAAAATACAATATAAGAGATGAAACAATCCAAATATCTTCAGTGATAATGAATTTAAGTCACCAGGAACTTTTCCTCCTAATAGAAAAGATTCTTATAACTTGATGAAGAAAATGGAAAATTTAAAAATCTCAAACATGATTCTATAAAAGTTTTTCTTATATATCCAGAATTTTCTAATAATCAAGTTCTTCATAACCAAGTTATACTGTATTTGAGTGATAAATGGCAACTTCAATCAGATCCCAGTGAAAATCGTTCAGATTCTGGAAAATGAATATTTCTCTTTCTTACTTATTTATTTGTTTTGGTAAATACCACTTAATAGATAGTCCAGTATACCATTGTTATCAAATAATTTATACATAGTGGGGAGTATCAAAAATAACAAATTCTCAATTTAGAAAAAAACATTATGTAGACTTTTGTACACACTATATATATACACGTATATTTTGCAAGTAAAGCAGTTTGAAACTCTTTATTACTTAAATCATAAAACAAGTCATTAAATTATTCAATGACATTCTAAGAACAGAAAAAAAAATATTACTTAACTTTCCCCCACTTTCAGATCAAAGAAAAATTTGATATAAGGGTTTTTCTGATTTAAAACCTGTGTGAGGCAAATTGTACACAGTGCTTCTCACCTTGTGCGGCAACCTCTGTGTAATAGTCAGACTTTGCTTGATTTACAGCCATGCTTATAGAACAAGGAGAAATAAATGATGGTAATATCAGGATATTTTACACACCTGTGGATCAAACACCACGGTCTCTATCACTTACTAATGGGCAAAAGTCTCTCCAAAAATCAATGTTTGCAAAAGTTAGCTAAGAAACAAAAGTAAACAGAAAAAAGAAATGCCCTCCCTAGTAAATTTTACTTAAGTAAACATTTTTCACACAAGTTGCCTTTTTCTCATTTACAGCAGATTTGACAGATAAAATATACATTACAATAAATGAAAATTCTTTTGAAACATTGAAACCTATAACAGCATACACAGATATTAGTCAGAAGTCATTTTTTAAAGCAATTGACATACTTCACTGTGTAGTTTCAATGTACAGACAGTAAGATAAAGGAAAGTTTTACATGCCCGATATCACACTAGATATCCCCTTTTGTGAGCAAAAAAAAAAAAATATGCCTGGCCATTTCAGTTACCTTAAATGTCTCAAAAAAAATCTCAAATCACAAAAAATCAACTGGAATTACACGTAAAAAAAATCCAGAACATTTGTTGAAAAGAGGAGAGAAGCCCTGGCAAAAAGTGGAAAAAAAGAATTCCAAAAATTATTTGGATTTATTCCACATTCTATGCAATTTTCCTTCCAATATCAATGGGGGGGGGGGGGGTTAAAAATATTAAATTCATTTTCATCATCCTTTTTTAAAGAAAATCCTTTTAAACATTCCTTTTTCAACCTTTTATTGTCTTTAAAAAGAGCACTATTGTAAAAATGCATTGGTACATATATACATTATTATTGAAAACAATTTTTTAATCTATACTTTCATACTATCATTCAGGAAATTGTCTTTCATTCACACAAATATTTTGTTAAACAAGAGATTCATTACATTGAAACAATTGATTTTAATTTTCACTTCTTTCATGACCTTTGAACACTTCCTCTTAAGCTAATGAAAAAAAACCTTCAGATCACACAAATTCTGGTGGATAACACAAGCTGAACAAAAGTTTTCTCATTGTCTTCACTTTTTCCTGTAAATAAAAAAGAACAGTTTTGACAGATTTATGCCCCTCTAAAAAGCAATTTATATGTAAATGCTTCCCATCTAACAAAGACTCTGTTTTTTTTTTGCAAATATATAATAAATGCAAACAAACTAAAGACAAATCTGTAACTTATATTTTTTTTTTTAATTTGATAATTTAGGAATTTAAAGATATTAATAAACTATATTTAATCCTGTCATATTAATTATCATGGATCAGATTAGATAACTTAATATAATATAATAAATCAAATTAACAAAGAGATAAATCTAATAAAATTTTATTGACATAGTATTACAATGTACTTCAATTCTTAATCAGAATTTTTTTTAATAAAGAAATATTTTAAATATTATTAAACTGTTGTCATTTTACTTTAACAAAGAACGACAACTGTTACTACACTTACAAACTGGTAGAGACATACCGTTTCTTGGGCTTGCTTGGTCGAGATATTGACGGAGGAGACATGATATCAGAAGCTGCCACAGATCCTGGGTTAGAGATATCCCCACCCTCACTCATCTGAGCGGGGGTTCGAGGTGTCCGTACTTTGATACTGCTGGGGTCATCATAATCATCTAGTGTGCTTACCCTGGTACTAAAATAAATAAAAAAATAGAAACATGTATCACATTAACTGCTATGTACAGTGACAAAAAAATTCTTGTTGTGAAAAAGTATGAATTACAGTTATTATAACACCAGTTTATTAGGTCCAAAGATAGAAAAAGGAAATCAGACATTTTATAAATAGAAGATACTATATGTGTTAATAGCCATTCTCTGTAACCACTTGAACTTCGTTGCCACGCATGGTAACCGATTTTGATGAAACTTCACCCATGGTTATAACTTGACACCAGAAACAAATATCAAACTAAATTTCGTTGCTAAGTGTCTCGGTTGCTATGGCAACAGCCGGAAAAGTTTGAAAAATCGAGATTTTCAGCCACTTTAAATCTTGACTGTGGCTTAATAAAAACTAGAAAGAGCAAACAAACCATTTTCACAAAAACATGACACCTTGATGTCACTTATACTGTAAAGAAACTGTTTAGAATATATCTCTAAGTAAGTGGTAACCAAGGGTACATTTAGAATACATTTAAAATGCTGAAATATGCTGAAAAACCCTCCGTATTCACTAATGGTAGGTGTTGCATGCTCAAACTCAATCAACGACTTAAGAAAAACAATGAAAATGTTTGACCTTAAGTATATAAGTATAAGCAATATTATTCTATAAATAACTTTTATGGTTGCCATGGTAACAGAGTGTAACCATGCAAAACCAGTAACTAAGATTGGGTTAATGCCACTGTCTTGAGGAAAAACATGAAAATTCAAGACTGGCAAATATGCATCCTTAGGACCTTGCATAACCAAAACCATAAGAAAAATTGGGTATAATTGCTACTTTGCAGTGTTACCATGGAAACAAAGTACCAGTGCTTAAAAGTGAATTATTTTTTGCTGCATTAAGAATTAAATCACCATATAATCAAGAAACAAATTAAAGGACTCAGCTTGAATAGTACTTATCTGTTAGAACTGAAGTTGAATATCATATATTGATAAAATTTGATGAAGAAAACAACACTGTTGCTATGGTTACCAAGAAGGGAAAATGTTCGATTTTGTGAACTTTATATCAATATTAAACCCTGTTTGCCAACTTCTTGCATCCACTTAGAGATTGGATGATCGTCAAAATTAAAAGTCAGGTTAGCTGTTAATAAATATCAATCATAAAAGTTTTGGGAATCTACATTTAAGGGTACGTATCCAAGGAAAGAAAATATTTTTCAGGTTTTCAAGCATATATTTTCTGCTTATTTCCATAGCAACGCTCTATTTAAAGAATCTAATCTGAATTTTTTCAAAAGGGAAAACTAGGAACACACCAACATCTTTAAAAATTGATCATTATTTATGAGGAAATGTCCTTTTTTAAAAGATAGGATCAGATTTAAACATACAGAGTGTTACTTTGAAGGCTCTCTGTGGTATAAAAACCTTGGCAACCATTGCCAACCAAAATGAAATATCATATTTTGTTCTTGGTATATGTTTCAAGGGTCTTTTTTCTATTATTCGACCACATTTCATCCTATAATTGCTTTTTATTTTTATGTGTATGACTTTATAAAATTCAATGAATATTTTTTTTTACTTTTGAATACTTTGTTACCATAGTAACGTATGCAATAGTTGATTTACCAAACATGTTTATCATGCATTTGAGACATCTGACCTTCAACTTTTGGAAACAGTCATTGCTAATTTTTTGCTTTGCCGCAAATGTTAACTCATGGGGTTCTAAACATGTTAAAAAATGCCATTTTTCGAACATTAAGACATGTTGCCATGGTAACTATAAAGCATAGCAACCAATTTTTGCCTGATTTCAGTTTAGGGTATCAATGACTTTTATCATAGAGAGTTTGGAGAAATTCTGAGACTATGCGTGCCAGAGCTCCTATATAAAATTTCAAATCACTACAGAGAATGGCTCTTAACTATTTACTCACTTTGTAACTGGAGTATCCACAGGCTCAGTTTTAATACCCTCTTTTGTCCACTTTGACTCAACCTCTGTTGTGAGTCCACGGGCAGACTCATGCTCAACTGTGATTTCAAATCCTCCCAAACCTGAGCAAGTAATAAATATGAGATTCAATTCTTTTTGTACTATTCAAAAATCTATTTAGCTGTATGAGTTATTTAACTGCCCTAATATACTCTGAGTCAGTAATTTGAATTCACATAACAACAAAGTCAATGTAAAGCATGGCATCGTCACAAAGCACATCTTGATAAAAAAAATATGATTTGTGTAACCTCCATTACACTCACACTTACTCACCATCTCACACCCACACACACATGCTCCTTTCTATAACCCTCTGACTTCATTGTGAGGTGGCAGTAAAATCTACTCACCTTCTAACTGTAACAGTTGCTCTGCATCATTAAGTTCATCGTTCTCATCCAACACAGGAAACTGGATCTCTGAAGAAGACTCCTCCTTGATTCTACAGCAGAAGTAAATCAAAAATTGCTTCTCAATATACAATATACTGTAAACTATCTTTAATTTGCTTGTGAGAAATTCTGCGAGTTTCTCGACCTACATTAACTCGCGAATATTAATTGTCAAGAAGCATTTATTTTGCTTTGTATAAGTAGAGGATGGTTCCTCAATTGCAAAAATTAATTGTCTCAGATTGATTCCAACCTGAAGATTCACAAATAAAAGATGACGTGAATAATAGTTGGTTTACAGTAACAAGATCCAAAGTCTGGTTTGTTTGTTTTAATGAGCTTAAAGAGCTGTAATAGGATATGACATTTCTGTGCTAGAGATCCATGCATTGAAGTCCTCAAATCCTGCATGTTATGAGTACATATCAAAAGGCATGTCAACTCGGCAAATGGAAAAAATTGAATTCATATGGAAGGTGGAAGACTGAAAAAAGCAGTTTTCTTCATTCGGTCAACATACAGGAAAACAAAATTGAGTAAAAAATTAGAAGCCTTATTACCTGATAACTGGTACTGTATCCATTTGCTTATTCATGATTGGTTGTTTCAGCTTCTCATACTCAGTCATTAGCTGAGCACAGGTCTGCTGCATTGAGGCGTGGTGATTAATGATCCGTGACTGGTAGAAGTCATGAATATTCGTAACGCTTCCTATTCCCATCTCATGATAAACTTGTTCCACAATATCCTGACAAATCAAAATTCCAGGAGAAAGTATTAACACAAAGTTTTTATTCATCCTGATAAAATATTTTTGGTACCTTTAAAATTTCGTGAACACAAAAGGGTCCAAAAAATTATCTTTACTTGTTAAAATAAAACAGATGAGAATTTTTTATTTATATATTATGTCAGGAATTTTTATCAATTTCACCTTTATAATACTGAACCCCCCCCCCCATCTCCATCCCTTTTACAAAGTAATGAGAGGAGTAGAGGAATATGAAAGAAACATAATTTTGAGGAATGATATGTTAGTTACTTACAGGGAAGCCTGAATATCCATGTAAAAGCTTGTTGTCTGCTGCATTTCTAAGTCTTGTACAAAAATCTTGGAAATATTCATGTGCTACATCTGTTAATGTTTCCAACACACTCTCATTACAGCCTACAAAACAACAGACATAAAGTTAAAAAAAAAACTCAAGTCTCTTTACATTTTCCATATCTTTTTAAATTTGTCTAATGAAGCAAAAGAAAAGGATAAAAAAAAAGTATGAGAGAACCGATTTTCCTGAAGCAGTGAAATACATAATACATTATGTGATTACAATACATGTACAACTGGATCATAGGTGCTTGGGTCAAGGATAATGTATATTTTCTACATATTAATGTATCGTCAAGGAAATTTTAACTACATGTATACTTGTATTAACATTTTTTTCAGTGCCAGTGTTATGAGATAACATACTGTCAAATCCTAGATGTGCACACAGTGCTGCGGTTGACTTCCGGAGTAATTTATGACATGCCTCTTCATCAACCACTGGTGGGACTTCACCAACCCCTCTAACAAAGTCACTGAAATTATCAAAATCTTTGATTTATACATGCATTCATATATGCATTTAAAATACAAAAAATAAATTAGGATATTCTACATTTATCCATTGTTTGTGAGTGGGATAGCTCTTTTATCAAACCTGCGACAGGGAACTATTCCCCGAGGGGAATATTCCCTGTCAAGGGTTTGATTAAAGAGCTATCCCACTCACAAACAGTGGATAAGCGTTTTATTCTACTGATGTATTATATAATTTTTGAGGTTTGAATTTTTTTGAGTAAGTTAATACTGCAAGAATAATCTGAAATCCTGATGACGTGACAATACTACTGAAGTCATTATGACATCATCAGTCAATAGATTTATTGCTGGAAATCAAACTTGGCAGCAAAAATTGCATGAAAATTTTCCAAGGGTGGATAGCAAAAACTATACCCCGGACTATAAAAGATAGTTATTTACCTTCTGAACTTTATATATGAAACATTTTAACAGAAGTATAATAATTCCCTTTATTGTAAAAAAAAATATCTATGAAGTTTCTTCATTTAGGAGATTTAATTAATAAGTAACTGAAGATGTATTTGTGATACAATAATTAACTTCTTTAAAAACTTTCGGTCAGTTTTATCCATAAAAATGTTCTTCATATCAGAATTTTGCTACTATATTTACTAATCTAGTAATTCATAGAGAACAGTGGTTGAAGTGTGGGAAAACTGAATAAATTTCGTACCTTTCAGTGTCTTTAGGAAGAAATGGAACTGGTCCTATCATTCTGTTTTTGATTGGCGGCCCAGTGTATTCTGGGATAGGGGGTGCAGGAGGGAAATTCATGTCTACATCCTATGGAAAAATAAAATACTGGGGAATCACCATGATTCATGGGGGCCAATTTTGTGGATTACTAAATTTTTACAAGGGGTGTTATTTACTGTATTTAATCATATCCACAAAAGGAATTATGACTTTGAACCCCATGTATATCAATTCATGGAGAATGTAAATTTGTGGATGAAGGGTAACTTCAATTTCATTTTTGAAAGTTTTGAACAGATTTAAATATTTGATATAAAAAGATGATTTTTGACAATTTTAATTTGTAATCACATCAATAGTTCTGGATGATTTACAATTTTAAAACTATGTAAAACAAACAATCCTGCTTATTCCTAAATATAATGGTGAAGAATAAACTACTGCATAATTTAAAAATAAGCATTCCTGCAAAATATATATTTTCAGTTCTAGCTTTCATTTTCATATTGCTGAAAACTATGTTCACCCTCCACTTGCAAATTATTGTTCTTGGAAAATAACGCCTAAGGGCAATTTGGCAATTCTAATTACTCGCATAAAAAAGGAATATACAGTAGAAAGTACACACTTAGGTCCTTGCTTCAAGTCAAAAAATCTAAAATCTTACTGAAAAAAATTGAACATTTGTTCCTTGCATAAACAAAGTGTTTATAAGTGTTTTCAATATATTACCATTCCGTCCTGCTGCTGTTGTATATTAGTAATCATATTCCTCAATTTCTTTGAATGCTGCATTAACTTAATTGTGTGAACAAGAATTGGGTCCATCTCAAATTTCTCAGCTGGTAAAGGGCTAAAATTTATCAAAAAATAAAAATCATGAAGAAATACAAAATAACAGATATTTAACTGATACCATGATATACAGATGTAAGGAAAGTAAACATCTTTGATTGATTCTAGGAGATCTCTTATTTGATGAATTCTTAGCACAGTAAAAAATAAAACAAACTTTCATATTCATTCTAGTTAAAACTTGTACTGAGATAGCAATGCTTTTGCGAGTAATGTGTGCATCAAAATAGGTGTATGTTATTGATCTCATGTAATTGTAGAACCACATTCAGTTCAATACATAAGTACATGTATTTACTGGGTTGTAAATACATGTACATGTATGCATAATTAAATCTTTTACCAATACAAACGTAATGATATATTACTCTTTAGAGGGGGGTTGATGACGACTGGATGGTTGGTGCAGACGAGGGCCTTCCACTTCTATGGACCTCAGCTTTGTCATTTGTTCTCGCTCCAGAGCTGCTATACCCCTGTCACTGTCTGAAGGAGGGGGGAGTTCTCCCCACAATGTCTGACTAAACATTGTACCTTGTAAGATTAAATTTAAAATATCAATTAAAAGCCTTTATCATATTACTGTAGGCTATCTTGCAAGAATGAATATATCAAGTCCTTTAGATTTCGTGTCCATTCTTGTTTTAAAAGCACTATGCAGATATTTGGTAGGTAAGAGATATGCATCCCTCCAAAAACATCGCATTGTTCAAATGAAGTACAGGTTTACCCCCTCCCGGGGCATCATCTTTTTTTGCTAACCGGATGTTTACACTCTATCTTGTAGTCACGGACAAAATGATTTTTACCGATTTTTTTTTTTTTTTCATATTTCATCCACAAATTTTTCAAAATAAAAACTATGATCGAGTAAAGAATTAAATGTCCAAAGTAAGACAGATGAAGTAATGAAGTAATTAAAAAAAAAATCAATAAATTATTTAGTCACTGCGGAATAGTTGCTACCATGTCAACCAACAACTAATGGCAGAAAAGTGAAACGAAGTAGGTGCCATTCATTTGAGTGTTTAGGTAACTTACCAGTGTATTTAAATGACAAGACAATAATTTCTATGTTGTTGAAAAATTTGACTTGTTTAATAAAGATATCATTATTTCTAAATATGTTAGAAATAATAGCAATCAGTATGCACAAATAGATCTTTATAGTGTTTATTAAGTCATCATGAAAACAAAGAAAACTCATTTTGGTGGTTCTCATCTTTGTGTAATTTTATTGTATTTTATAGAGTTTAGTTAAAATATACGCATTAAGTTTATCTAGATTAACAATACATGTACAAAAAAGTATTTTTAAACACCTTATTGTGTTGACTTGCACAATTGCACAAGTTGAGTTTACTTTACTTTAACATATGTATATACATTTTCAGTACATGTAAAGAGCCATCATGGCGGCCACTCTGCCGCCCATCAACAAGTCACCAAGCATGAGTAGACAAGGATACACAGTGCCGGCTCCCAAGGGGCCACCCAGTGGGAAGTTGAAACCACTACGAAAAATTGGAAAAACTGATAGGGAAATTTTATTCAAACAAGAAGTTCTGCGACAACAACAACCCGATTTATCAAAGAAACAAACAGCAAGGTTAGCCTGTCCAGAATGTTGAAACGTACTGTTCACAAACAAAAAAATGAAAGTTTTCATCAAATGCTAAGTTCTAGAAGTTATAAGGAAAAAACTGATGATTTTTGTCAAATACAAAGAGTTTTTTTTTTGTATAAGTTGCATATCTATTTTTAAAAGTAATTTGTAATATTTTCCATCTATATGCTCAACCATATGCATTAAACGTGCACATGTACACACCTCCATGATAAAACAATAAATGTTACAAACATAATTTTTTACATCTTCCTTGTAAGAATGTTTAGTTGTAATATAACATCATTTTAACCTTGTATTTATTTACTTTTACAGCTACAGAAACACATATAAACATAACTTATGTCTGGATATGTTACAAGATGGATATCACAAGTCTTTTAGTGAACTTTTTGCACTTATCAAACAACAAGAAGAGGAAAGACTTGCACAGGGAGAAGAATCTTTAATGTGGACACAAACAATGTTAAAAGACAGACATCAAGAACTAGACATGCTTAAATTTCACCTGACAAAAGCAGAGGAAGCACTCAGAAAAGGTAGATCAAGTTTGTAAAAATTCATAGAAATGAAGTATCTTATTATACTTGCAAGCCTTTTCAAATGATTTGCTGAAAAAATTGGTATATAAAGTAATGTTTAGCACATAAACACATAATCTAAAATCATTGCCATCTTATTGCTTTGCTATGGTAAACAATACATGTCACATGTTTATGTATAGATTGATTTGATGGTCTTACATACCGGTACTTGATTAAAAACTTAGACAATCTAATTTTATGTAGATTTGATGATTCAATGGTGATCATTTAGTGACTTTGGGTTTCACATTGCTTCTTGTCACTATTTAATTAAAATATGCACTATTCTTGATTGTTCAAAATCGGTATATAAAAAGCAGGGCTCCAAATGCCAAATTTTTTTTCATTCTTTTTGAGAATTTAGTAGTTATCATTGAGATATTATATTTTTTGATATTTTATCTTTTATTGCTTTCAATTCGTATGTAAATTTATGTCAATGCATTTTTTTTAACCAATTTAATTAAACTGCCATGATTCAGTGTTCCCTTTTGAACTGTCTCTGGCAAAAAAAGGAGACCTATATTACTTTAGTGAATACCATTTTCATAGTTATCATAGAAGTTACATTTCTTAAAAGTTTTTAAAGTTAATTGTCAATTTATTTCATAAATTAATTTTACAGGTGATTTCTCAGAGGTGTATCACAACAGATATGAGCTTGCTCGCTATTTTCAGTCCACGGGAGATAAATGGTTATCAGATCACTTCTTTAACACGTGTCTAGAAACTAGCAGTAACATTGAAGGGGACGGAGGAAAGCTTAGAGCTCAAGGCTACTACAATGTGGGCGCTGCACTGGAAGACAATGGTATGTGAAATGCTATGAACTGATTAAGATTCATTAGCTGCATCATCAGTGCTAAAACTTATTTTGGGGGGGAACGACCCTGTAAAATTCATCATTAAGATTTGACAAAATTAATATACTCTTACTGTAGAAGGATAAACATTTTCTTGTG